GATGACATCCTTTTTTGCATTTGAAAGTGAACTTAGAATAGATCACTTTGATATGGTCACTGACCAGATTTGGACCCAGTAAAACAAAACTGACAGAAATGGAGCCACAAAGGACAAGTACAGGTGATCCTCCTTTTACAATCATTTATTTAGTGACCGTTCAAAATTGCTCTGAAAATAAGACCTATTGCCTCTTTTGGAGGCAAAAAACCCATATAAAAGCATTTTTTGGGAAAACATGGATGTAGCTTTTTAGATGTTGATTGGGGTGTTGATGGCTGGCTATTAAGTCATTGGCTGTTGTTTGCTTCTGCTGCCAAGCACTCAACTCCTATGTACTTGATAAGCTGATGGTAAATCATCACTTTTGTTGACTGACTGTGATTGAAGCCTGGGAAAAGGTCCCCCTCTGGTCCCAGTGACTGACCTAGATTGGATCCTACAACATTATCCTGGGAACACATCTATTTGCATGCATTCATGATTTATGAGCATTTTTCACACTTGCAGCATCCCCATGCAGCATCCCCATGCTTGGCAAAGGCTCACATTTATGATGGTTACAGTGACCTGGGGTCACATGTCCACCTTTTGTGGCCTTCTGACAAGCTAAGTCAATGGGGAAGACAGATTCCTTTAAAAACTGCGTAACTATTTTAACAGCTGCAGTACTCACTTAATAACTGTGGCAAGAAAGGTCATAAAATGGGGCAAAACTCACTTAACAAATGTCTCACTAAGTAACAGAAATTTTGGGCTCAGTTGTGTTCATAAGTCTTGGACTACCTATACTAGAATTCTAAAAGTTAGATAATGATGGGTTTAGAAGTCCCCCCCCTCTCTCTCTCGCACACACAACTTTTGAGAACTAGGCACTACATGCATTCCAACTCAATAAATATCCTGGGAGAAATTAAGTAAATGAAAAGCAAAGTAATTAACATCATTACTGCTGAATGGTTAAATAATACCATTAAGTTCAAATTACCTTAAGCTTAAGAGGAATCAAAGCGACATTTCTATATTTATTGCTAGTGTGTCAAATGCACACTACATCTCTTTGTTCATAGGACAATCATAGAGCAATGATCAAATAAATAAAGAAAATAGAGTCTTCAATGCTAAATTGATTGTATTTACTAAAGGTGGAAAAATCAAAAGAACAAACAGAAGGTCAACAAGAAATAGAAAAGAATATAAGTCAGTGATGGCGAACCTTTTAGAGACTTGAGTGCCCAAAGTGCAACCCAAAACCCACTTATGCATCGTCGAGTGCCGGTGGGTGTGGCCCATTGACTGGGTGTGGCCAATTGTGTGGGCATGGCCCATTGGGTGGGCGTGGCTGTGGTGGTAACGGCAGACTGGGTGGGACTAAAAAGTTCAATCAATCAATTCCAACTTTGCAAGATCTTTTTTTTTCCCTCAAGAAGTTGAAATTGATTGAACTTTTTTTTTTTTTGCACACGGCGGCAGAGGCCTAAAGCGAAAAGGTTTTATAAAACCCAGCTGAAGGCCTAGGACTGGGGCGACGGCACGCGTGCCCACAAAGAGGGCTCTGAGTGCCGCCTCTGGCACCCGTGCCATAGGTTCGCCACCACTGATATAAGTGGTATCCAACCCTTTGCAACCCCAGGGACAACAACATGCCAGGCCCCACTGTCCTCCCCTCGTATCAGGAGTTTGCCCAAATATATGTTTGTTGCATCAATGACACTATCTAATTATATCTCTGCTGTCCCCTTCTTTTGCTTTCAATCTTTCCCAACATCAGGGTCATTTCCAAGGATCCTCAATTGGTGGCCAAAGTATTTGAGCTTCAGCTTCATTATCTATCCTTCCAAAGAACAGTCAGAGTTAGAATGGACAGATTTGATCTCCATGTAGTCCATGGATTCGTCAAAAACAGATTATGTCAAATAAATCTTATTTCATTCTTCGACAAACTGACTAAATTAGTGGATCAGCAAAATGCTGTGGATATAGTATACTTAGATTTTTAGATCTATTTGATAAAATAGATCACAACCTACCTCTTGGCAAATTGACAAATTGAAAAATGTGGGATAGACAGCACTACCACCAGATGGGTTTGTAACTGGCTGACAAATCATACTCAACATGTAGTCCTTGATGGAACTACATCTATTTGGAGGGAAGTAAGTAGGGGAGTACCCCAAGATTCCGTTTTAGGCCCAGTACTCTAAGGGGAACTCATCAAATTTGCAGATGAAACTAAGCTGGCAGGAATATCCAACACCCCATAAGACAAGCTCAAGATCCAAAAAGTTCTTGACAGATTTGAACAATGGGCCTAGCTAACAAAATAAAATTCAGTGAAGATAAAAGTAAGATTTTACACTTAGGCAAGACAAACCAACTGTATAGGTACAGACTAGGTGAAACCTGGCTTAATGCCAGTAACTGTGAAAGGGATCCTGCAGTCTTAGTGGATAATCACTTAAATATGAGCCAACAATATGCATCCACAGCCAAAAGAGCCAATGCAGTCCAAGGCTGCATTTATAGAGGGACAGAATCATGATCACATGAAGTTCTAGTACTGCTTTACAAAGCCTTAGTAAGACCACACGTGGAATACTGCATCCAATTCTGGTCACCACCATATAAAAAAGATGTTGAGATTCTAGAAAGAATGCAGAGAAGAGCAACAAGAATAATTAAGAGACTGGGGGCTAAAACATAGAAAGAATGGTTACAGGAATTGGTCTAGTCTAGTTTAGTCTAGTCTAATGAAAAGAAGGACTAGGGGAGATATGATAACAGTATTCCAAAATTTGAGGGACTGTCAACATATTTCCCAGAGCACCAGAAGGCAAGACAAGAAACAATGGATGGAAACCTATCAAGGAGAGAACCAATCTTGAACTAAGGAGAAACTTCATCATAGTTAGAATAATTTATCAGTGGAACGACTTGCCTTCAGAGGTTGGGTGCTCCATCACTAGAAAATTTTAAGAAGAAATTGAACAACCATTTGTCTGGAATGGTATAGGGTCTCCTGCCTGAGCAGAGGGTTGGATCCCTTGCACTGGAATAATTCTGTGAAAAATTCATTCAGCTAAACTATACAAAACTATTTTCAGGTCAGGTTAACTTGGAAACATTCACAGCTGATGCCCTGACCCTGATTATGCATGCACTGATATAGTCATGTGAGCACTGGGTTATGTGGCCATTGTAATTTCAGAACTGAGTTGTAAGTACTTTCGGGAAGGGGGGGCGTCCAATGTCATTTCAACTGGTCGTAAGTCGAGGACTTACTGTAATTTATCTGATGTCTAATATTCTATGAAGGTTTGTCACGTGGAAATGGTTGAAGTGTTTTGCATGTTTTCAATAGACAATCCATGTTTCATAGACATACAGAAGAGTAGCATAGCTTTGTAGACTTCAAAGTCTACAGAGGTGAACTTGTCACATTAGATCCCATAAGGACAGTGGAGGTGCAGGATCTTATTAAAATGTCCCAATGTTTTATCTGTTTACAGGGATCCTCAAAATCTCTACCCTCCCGAGGTTAGCAATGCAAAGCTCCAATATGCGGGATGGGGACCCAAAGGCCAGCAGCTGGTAAGAAACTGTTCTCCCTGACTTTTTATCTTCTTTGCTGCAGAGTCAGTTACAAATATGAATAAAAGGGATCCCACATAGCCCCTTGGCTTACTTTGCTGATTTAACCGTACAGCTTCATTGCTGATAGGACTTAACTGAGCACCGATAGCGCTTGTCTAATAGCAAGACCAATTTGCTTCTCGGTGATCCCGAAGAATTCATACACTAAAAGTCAGCATAGCAAAAGAGTTTAGGGCTATAACTGAGACTTTGTTCTAATCCCTTCTTAGCCACAGAAATTCCCTGGGGGTCTAGGGCCAGTCTCTCTCTGGGAACTGCAGAGCCTGGGTGATGCCGTGGAGAAGCTCCTGATCCAGGTTCTTGTCCCCCCCCCCAATCATTAAAGACTACTGGGTATGAAGAAAAACCTAACAGAACTGGGAGAAGGAAGATCAAGGCCACTAAAGTACATTATGGTGACAGAAAAGATTTCTTGGTCCAAAGCCAACTGCAACTTATCTCTGCTGCCCCTCTCCCCCCCTTGTATTTCCTTGACTAAAACTCAAGGATCTTCATCTCTAGACATTGTGCTGGACATGGCAAAGAAGAACCTCTCTGTAGGAGTCCCAGGAGCTCTTCTTGACTTATAACATACAGGTAGTTCTTGACTTACAACCTCATCTGAGTCCCAAATTTGTATTGCTAAGCTAGACCGTTGCTAAGTGAGTTTCGTTCCATTTTATGACTTCTTGCCACTGTTGTTAAGTAAAACACTGCAGTTGTTAAGTTAGTAACACTATTGTTAAATGAACCTGGCTTCCCCATTGACTTTGCTTGTCAGAAGGTCGCAATAGGTGATCCCATAACCCTGGGACACTGCAACTGTCATAAATACATGCCAGTTGCCAAGCATCTGAACTTTGATCATGTGACCATGCGGATGATGCAACAGTCATCAACGTGAAAAAGTGTCATGAGTCATATTTTTCAGTGCTGTTGTAACTTTAAACGATCACTAAACAAATGGTTGTAAGTTGAGAACTACTTGTAGCATGTTTGTTTGTTTGTTTGTTTGTTTCAATTCTGTACTATGAAATTTCCTAGGCAGCCAACAGTCTCATAAGAAGAAGGTATCTATAGGAAAAAGGGAAAGTAATTTGAGCATACCTTTAAAAAGACGAATGAAAAATTGAATGCTGTGCCCTCGTTAACCCTTTTACCAATTAGATCATCCTCTTCTTGTGAGCTAGAGCAGTGGTGGGGATAATTTGGGCATATCCTGTAGCTCATGGAGTAATTTTTAATCTTGTTTTCTTGGCAATGGCATTATTCAAGACTGGAAAAAGGGTGATGGGGTCAAACAGTTTAAGGAACCAAGAGAATATTTGTGTCTCAGGGTTGAACTGTGGGGTCCTTGGTGCTCTCTGAACTTGGTGACTTCCTTGCAGACCTTTCGTTACCAAACTAGGTAACATCATCAGTGCTACAAGGGAACAGAATTTGCTCTCTGTATATATAAGGTGGCTTGCCTTGTCAGTATTAGTGGAAGTGTTGTTTTCTTCTTGGATTAACACCAGGAATAATTCCAGAATAACAATAAAGCAGTAAACAGTCCTCCAATGAAGGAACTACCAGCTCAGACAAAAGATCAAACAGAAAACAACAGCCAACTCAAGAAACCATCAAGACCATTCCCACAACACTGACAAGGCAAGCCACTTGTATATAAACAGCAAACGCCATAAGTAGATAAATACTGGAGAAGGTGTTTCCTCAGATATCCAGGTCTACAGCCAGGAAGAGCCTTAAAATTGAATTTACTATGTATCCAACTGGCAAATAGTGCAAGACCTTAAGCAGTAGGGTCACTAAGATATCCTCGGATATAGCTGTTATCTCCCAGTCAGCCATGTTTCTTATAAATTGTAGCTTCTGAATGTTCTGCAAGGGCAGACTTATGCACAAAACATTGCAGTAACCCATACGAGGCGATTAGGGTGTGAGCAGAGCCTATTGATCCAAGAAAGGCCACCTTTAATACACGTAACTATGCAAAGCCTTCCTTGCTAAAAGTCCAGTCTCCTTATTAAATAGGATCTATGGCTTTAGGAAGACCTCCAGATTGCTAGCTGCCTCTGAATAGGAGAGTACAATTCCATTCATAGTCAAAGATGGTATTTTTCAGGAATCAATGGGCCTACAAAACAAAAGTATCTCTCTCTTGGAAAGATTTAATCTGCATCTCTTCTTCCATATCCAGACCCTGACTGACTTCACACACTGAGTCAGCATCTTGACTCTGTTGCCTGTTTGGCCTGGGGCCAAGAAAAATAGTTGGGTATCATCAGCACAATGAAAATATAGGTCCCCATATCAACAGATTTCCCCCCCCCCCCAGCAGTTCTATTGTAGATGTTAAAAAGAAGTGAAGAGAGAAGATGGCCCTGGGGCACTTCACAAAGTAGATATTTCAACTTGTTAGTTCAAGTTGTTCAGCCACTGACACAGAGGAGATCCTAACCAGGAGATATTTCCTGGTGGGCTTTCTCAACCATGAGGAGCCAGGAATTTTGCACATTTTAATTTTGTTTTTCGTATGAATGAATTTATCACTAACTCTGCATCCCACTCCTACTTCAAAAACCTTGTTTTGACCTTGTCAAACCACTCTGCCAAAGATGCAATAATGACCCAGTGTGTATCATTTCAGAAGAAGAAAATTTAATTTACAGTGATGCCCTACATAATCAGCAGTGATATTAGGTTATCAAATACAAGATAATCCATCTTGTAGAAGTTTAAAGCACAGAGTGCATATTAAAGGCCACTTTGACTAATAAATTCTAGGAACAATATAACAAGGTAGTTAGCATGCAAAAATACAGGTAGTCCCCAGTTTACAATCCATGAAACAGTGGTTCATAGTTACAAAGGCATCAGAAAAAGTGATTTGCAATCTGGTCCTTGAAGTTATGGCCATCATACCACCCCACTTGATCACAAATCAGATGCTTAGCAACCAGCTCACATATACAACTGGTGGCAACAACCTGCAGGCATGTGATTGCAATTTTTGATCTTCCCAACAAGCAATGTTAATTGGGGAAGCCAGATTCGCTTAATGACCATGATAAAAGTGACTGTAAAATCAGGTCCAGTAACGTGACTTGATGACATTATCAATTAGCAATTTAGTCCCAATTATAGCCATAAGTTGTAACTATTTTAGAAGCCCAGGAACAATATTCTACATAGCCATAGAAAGTATTAAAGTCAGAATAAAACATCTGAAAATATTAAAAAATGTTTTCTATATCTATAAGCAGCTAAAATGTGCAATAGAGTTTGTGTAAAATATAAATTATTGCAAGATTTGTTGCCAAGTCCTGGAAAAGATGTGAGCAAGAGTTAGACTACTTTCAAAAAATAAATATGCAGAGGAGAGATTGTAAGGCTAAAACTCACTAGGTCATCAGAGAAGCATCAATATATTGATAATTTTTAAGGTTCCAAATGATCTGTTGTTGTTTTTTTTGCTTCAGCATTCTATACAAGGAAGTTGTTTTTTTTTGCTGCAGATTAGGCACAACATTATTTTTGCCCCAAACATTGTCAGCTTTTTGGGTATTAAAGATATTATATGCAGAAAATCCTTTGGGTTTTAAAGATTAATATGAGCTGCTGTTCCAGAAATTAAAATAAAACCTATGTTTGTTTTAGTAGAAGCTTTAGAGCTTGTTTCAGCTTTAGAAAGAGATCGACTACCCCAACAAGTTTTAAAGTTTATGCAAAGTCACATACACCGGTGGTTAGAGCATTTATTCTGCATGTTTTCAAATTCAGTCTCCGATAAGGCAGTCCTTGACTTACAACCTTTTGTTTAGTGACCAGAGCTACAATGGTACTAAAAAAAGTGACTTATGACCACTTTTTACACTTATGACTATCACAGCATCCTCACAGTCATGTAATCAATATTTGTACACTTGGTAACCAGCATATATTTATGATGATTGCGAAATCCCAGGGTCACGTGATCGCCATTTGCGACCTTCCCAGCCAGGTCAGTGGAGGAAGTTATATTTGCTTAATGATCCAAAGGTGCTTTTTCAGGAGGCAGCTAGACTTTCTTGTTTTTCTTTTGAAGATGTTTCGCTTCTCATCCAAGAAGCTTCTTCAGCTCTGACTGGATGGCGGGGAATGGAAGGATTTATATTTATATTCCTTGCAGACAGCTGGTCAGTTGCATTCTTTTATTCAGAGAGTCGTTAGTGCTACCTGGAGGCTTATCTGTGTCTATCTGAGTAATGCAAATGGGTGTGGGGCCTTCTTGGCTGCAGGATGTTTTCTGCCCTGTGTCCCTTCACTGTGGAAGACAGGCGGAGGCTGTTGGGGATGAGTCTGTGTTGTCTGCATCTCAAAGTGAAGGGCAAATAGTTCCTATACTCTTGAATGTTTTCTGGAAATCCGTTTGTATTCCTGCACCATTTGAAGGGTGTTCATCCCAAAGTGCATAGCTAAGAGTCTATGGAGATTCTCAGTTATCCAGGTCATGGTTGTCCCAAAGGAAGTCCAGTTGCCTCCTGAAAAAGCACCAAGGTTGGAACCCCTGGGGCAGTGATGGCGAACCTTTTAGAGACTGAGTGCCCAAAAACTGGCCCCACCCCTGCTCCGCCCCCACGCTGTTCCCTACCCTGCCTGCCCGCAGGACCACTCACTGCCTCCAGGGCCCGCCGCAGATCGCCCAGGCAGCCCAGCAGCGCCAATGGCAGCCACGCCCTCTGCCTGCGCCCCGCAGCATCAACTGTGCATGATGGGGCGTGAGGCAGAGTCTTGTCCACACTGCCTGGCTGCCATGTCCTTGGCTGCTCTGCTCTGCGTGGGCCACGCTCGGGAGCAACTCTCCTCCAGGGGGCTGCTGGTGAGGGGGTCGTGGGGGGAGGCGAGCTGGGGCAACAGCACATGTGCCCACAGAGAGGGCTCCGAGTGCCGCCTCTGGCACGCGTGCCATAGGTTCG